CTGCCCTCATTTTTCTATCAGTCAGAAAATTTTTCATCCATGTTAGAAGCTAACCTGTCACCCCTCCAATATTTTCCAGTTTCCAGAACAACCTCTTATGTGGAACTCTGTCGAAAACCTTTTTTAGGTCCAGATAAATGCAGTCAACCCAACCATCTCTTTCCTGTAATATCTCTGTTGCTCGATCATAGAAACTGAGTAAATTCGATACACGGGATCTTCCAGATCGAAAACCAAACTGTCTGTCTGATATTATATCATTTCTCTCCAGGTGTTCTACCCATTGAGTTTTATTTTTTTTTTTCAATATTTTAACTATTACACTTGTCAATGATACAAGTCTATAATTAAGGGGGTCTTCCCTGCTTCCACTTTTGTAGATTGGAACTATGTTAGCTTTTTTCCACACATCAGCTACATCTCCTGTAAACAGGGATGCCTGAAAAATCATTTGAAGTGGAATATTGAGCTCAGGTGCACATTCTCTCAGAACCCATGGTGAAACTCCATCTGGACCAACTGCTTTGTTCTTATTTAGCTTCTTGAGCATTTTTTCCACTTTGTCTCTAGACACCTCTATGTGCTCTATGTTGTTCTCTGGAATTCTTATTGTATCTGGTTCCCTGAAGATTTCATTTTGCACAAATACACTTTGAAACTTTTCGTTTAATGTTTCACACATTTCCTTTTCATTTTCCATGAATCTATTTCCCATTTTCAACCTCTGAATATTATCCTTTACCTTCAATTTGTTGTTTATGAATTTATAGAATAGACCTGGTTCTGTTTTACATTTGTCTGCAATCCCTTTTTCAAAATTTCTTTCTGCCTCTCTCCTCACTGCCGTGTAGTTGTTTCTCGCATCTTTGTATCGCTGGTATGTTTGGGGGTTTGTCCTCTTCCTGTATTATTTCCATTTTTGTGTCTTTGGGTCTCTGGCCCTCTCGCAATTTCTGTTGAACAAATCCTGTTTCCTAGTTCTGCATCTTGGTTTTGGTATAAATTTTTTAGTGCCTTTATCATATATTTCACAAAACTTGACATACATCTCTTTCACTTCCTTGCGTAGCAACAAGTCTGTCCAATTATATTCACTAAAAAAATTTCTAAGGTTGCCATAATGTCTTCTCCTAAAGTCAGGTTTTTCAATTGCATCAACCTTCATATTTTCTTCCTGGTAACATGTGCAATTAGGTCATTCAGTCTTTTGTTGATGCTACGAATTTTCCAACTGAGAAACAAAATGGTCCTTGTGTCAGCAGCAGCCATCGTCTTGGTGTTGTTCCTCTGTGGGACTGGTGGTCCCATTGTTGTCCTTGTCTCATTTCCACAATGTGTCAATAAGTGACTCTACGACGTAAAGAGCCGCACCAACCTGGCGTTTGGCGTTGTCAGGAACATCTGGTGACATCATCAGTTTCTTGATCACTGAGCAACTTGGGATGGTCCGCGAGGGAATGCTCTCTGTAAGTTGCATGGCATAATTACTGTCACTCAGAATATTATCATTTTCATTTTCGTACTTGGGTTGAGCGCGTTCGTTAAGGTCAATAATCATTTTAATATATGCTGATGCAGATCGACTTCCTTTTCCAGTTAATGTTTCTGTGTCACTAACACTGCTGTCATCACTGAGTTGACTGACGATGTCGCTTCCACCGCCTCTGTTGTCGCTCTCATCCCTGCCGCCGCCACCGCCGCCGCCGTCACCACCACTGCAGGTACCTTTACCAGCGCGGGCCACAGCTGTGACACATCAGTGTGGAAGCTGCTGTATCTCTTGTGAAGGAGCCCGACGTAGCGTCTCTATAATTTTTGCCATTTCTGCTACCTGTGCATGCAAGGCTGCCAACTGTCCTTCAACTGTTGTCTCAGGCTGTTGTGTGTTGTCAGGGGTGTTGCTGGTACTGTCACCGCCACGGAGTGGGTCAACAGTACTAGAGCTGGCATCAGTAGGCACTTGTTGTGTCTCGGGCACTTGCCTTCTTGTGCCAAGGGAGGCTGGCCGTTTAGTATAGTCTGAGTGCCAGATGGTTACTCTTTCCGTACCACATCTGAAACACTTCAGTGGCGGTTTAGACGGAGCCACAGTTTCAGGTTGTTGCCCTGCTTCTGTTACAGTGTTCTGTTGCTCCTGTTCCTGCTTTCTTTGGTCTCTGGTCTTCTTATACGGACAGTTCTTCAGTGGGTGATCACCGGAACAGAGAGCACATTTGGGTGTGGAGCACCAGCAGTGCTTAGCTATGTGGTCACTGCCATAGCACTCGTAACACTCCAAATGGTTCGGCTCCCACACCCTGAGGGGCGCATACACCCCACCAAACCAATACTTTAAGGTGGGGGATCAGGCTTCTCCCAGACTATGACTATTTGATTGGTAGGTTTACCATTTTTGTTCAATCTTCTTGCTTTGTGAACCCCTTCCGCCAGGGAAGGGATAGTGGAGACCGTTGGGTCAGTGCTCTGACCGCAAGGGTCAGAGGCCCATGGGGGCCAGATTACGGTCCCACCCCTCTTCTTGCTGTTTGTTGCCTGAAGCTGATGATGCCCTGTGGTTCTTGCTAGAGAGTCTTACAGTGAGTCCCAGGTACACTGTACAGGTGATGCTGTGTTATTAGCACCAGCAATGCATCAAACAATAATGTTGGTAGGCTTCCCCTAAGGGAGCGGTGGGGGCAGGCTAGCCTGCCTCCAAGCCTCAGGTGCCACTCACTAGTTCACTCTAGGGTTCCTTTGATACTAGTGACTTATGCAATAGTGTTGGAACACTCAGCAGCCCAATAGTATTGTGACCATACCGCCCCCAGCGATCAAAGCACAAGGTTGGGTACTAGGGACTTAACCCCTAGAGGGGAGAGGAGGCGCGCACATTCTCTCAGCCCAAGGCCTGGCCAGCGAGAGTCTTCTGACTGTGTGTGGCCACCTTTTTATTGACTGCACTCACCCTAACAGCTTAGTGGTTTGCTATGGTGAACACAAATGTAGATATTTATATATATAACGTGTATATAGAGTGTAATAACAGCAATGGGAGTAGGTTGGGAGCCACCATTTTGGTGAGGGAGGTGCGTCGTCTGCACGACTTATCATGTTGTTTACTGGTGGCCACTATGGTCTTTGGCCACCATACCAGCTTATTTGTACAGGTATGGTGAATAAAACAGGTAGATACTTATATATAATGTGTGTGTATATAGCGTAATAACACCACAAATAGTATTGTTGGAGGAGAAATATTAGTGCGTCTGGCCTTGAGGGCGGCCGCCACCAGCTGACTGTGTGAGTAGCTATGTCTTTGTGCCTTTACCCACCATACAAGCTTAGATGTACAGTTATGGTGAGCAAAACATGTAAATACTTATATATAATATCTGTGTATAGTGAATAAATGCAAAAACAGTATTGTGGGAGGAGAATGAGGGTGAGTGAGGTGTTGTTGAGGAAGGGAGTGGCTGGCTGGTGTGTGGCGGTCACTCCTCATTGCATTTTGACTCACAATACCAACTTAGTGGTTTGTTATGGTGAGCAAAACATGCAGATACTTATATTTAACCTGTGTATATAGTGTAATAACAGCAAAACTATTTGTTTATTGTTTTATGAACATAATAATTGAATCACTAATATGCACACAATAATTTTGATTACAGCGATGGTTCACACATTTTATTATATACATATATCACAATTCGCTCTATTGAATAATATTACTGCAAAAAACTAAGAAAAAATCAATCAGAGACATTTAAGTAATTAGGTAATAATATATTTGTGGCAAGTGCCCCCGACAGCTCGAGCGGAGTAAACCTCGTCTGGCGAAGGCTCTGTCAACGCTCCTTTTTTGCCAGACTTCCCTACCCTATTGCGACTAAAATATACCACCTACGATTTTTTTGTTTTTTTTTCCGTGATCAGGGAACGAAAATGAACACTTCTATAAGACGAAAGAATTTTTTGAATTTTTTGTTGTTGTTGTGCCTTTGGGTGTTAAATCCATTTGGGCCCCTAGCGGTTTGAGGGTTAATGATACAGGTCTATAATTTAGAGGGTCATTTCTGCTACCATTTTTGTAGAATGGAACTATATTTGCCTTTTTCTGTATATGAGTTAGTTTATGTGCTGGGATCACTATACTATAAAGATAGATAAAGTCTACCAAAGAGAGAGAACAAATATATGTACCTTGTTGCCCAACACAAGGCTGCTATTGGGACAGTGTCCAACTCTGGCCCCGGACATCGCTCGGTGCCCTTGCTCAAATCTCTGAATGTGTTAGATATTGGGTCACTGCACATTCTCTCTTGTGTGTTGTACATATGTAGGGCGCTGAACTGTAATGCCAATCCTGACCTCAAAAGCTTCATTGAAGGTTGTAACAGAACCCATGAGCACCACACCAGAAATAAATACAGTTTTGATATTCCTAGAGTACGACTTAATCAAACTAGAAATGCTCTACAAATCAAGGGACCCAGAATGTGGAATGACCTTCCCAACCATGTTAAAGACTGTACCTCTCTCAACCAGTTTAAGATAAAAACTAAACACTACCTAATAAATTCCCTGTAACCTACCTCACTCCTCTATTGTCAACCCATGTCTGTAATTTTTTTTTGTTTAATCAACACTGTTTGTCAACCTATTGTATTTGTGCTGCTTTTTCAGTCATGTTCCACTTTTTTTTTTATCTTTATTTGTATTTGTTCTCAACACTTTTTATTCTTTATGCTCAATTAGTATTAAGTTCTAGATATTAATGTTTTTCTTGCCCGAAACGCATTGCGTAATAGTGGCTTTAGGCATTGTATGTACTAGCTCTATCTATATATCAATCCATTAATGTAACATCACTTGTATGTATGTATGTACCTTACCTGAATAAACATATATAATTTTTTGAGGTAAACTGAACATTTTCATATAAATAATATATTATATAATTTTTGTCTTTTATTAGATTAGTTAATAATTATGAACACTTACAGTTATAACATTTTCAGCGGGGAGCTATGGTGGGTGTGAGTTCCCATCGTGGGTTAGCAGCCATAGGCGATGGCACGCACTGGACCGTGGAGCATCTTACTCTGTGGGCCATCACAATACCACACTACGGTTACATCATGCCCATAACTCAAGAACACAACCGACACAACTTGGAATTATTCAGGAAGAAGAGGAAGAAGGTATGTTAATGTATTCATCAAATTTGTATTTAATTTACTGAATAGCAAGGTATGCAGACATGGTAGGAAAAGGGAGCTTTACAAGTGCAATTAAAAGGGTTCAAATTCTAATTAGGATGGAAAATTTGACCCTATTCCTTTACTCTGTTTGCCCTCTTCATCCAGCAGTAATCTGGCACTTATCTGAAAAATTATTGACAGATCATATTCTGAGGAAACATCTTGTTTTTACTTTATTTTCGTGCTGCATGTGCCTAGGGCTATCTTCCCTAGATGCCCTGTAAGTATTGCCCTTGGGGCTTGGGGCCACCTTCCACAAGTCACCTAGGATTCTACCTCCACTGTGTCTTTTACTGCTTGGTACTGGGCCGCCCTTGGAGTCAGCTGGGGTTTTGTTGCCCTGGTTTGTCTCTGGGTAAGTGGTAGTTTTCATCACTGGTAGGGACGCGGGGTACCGCACAGCTAGTTTTCACCATTAACAGCGGCCTGGGTATCTGTTCCGCCTGGGTACATTGTCCTCTTGCTGGGTTTTTCTTTTGTTTTTGTTTTTGCCTGGATGGGGGAAGTCTGCCTTTATGGTCCCCCTTTACTGTTCTAGGTGTTTATATTTCACTATTTTCTGTTGGTGGTACTCCCTGCTTGGCCCCGATGAGTGGACACATCCCCCGGGGGTTCAGCTTTTAGAAGTTTGTTTGGTAGATTTGGGTGCCGGTTCGCAGTACCCTGCTTGGGCTCCCCTTAGCGTGTATCCAAGGCTAAGGGCCCTGGGAAACACCACGGGGACTCTGTGGTCATATGGGTGTGTCTCCGGAGTCCCCCCCTCACATCCTGCGAGTTTGACAGTTGCTCTGTCCCCTTGTCTCAGGGTGACACTCATCGGTTTGTGCCTCCACCATGCTGCCTGTTGGGTCATTGTTTCTTCTGACCGGGAGTCATGCGACAGGTGTTGTTGGTACGTGCTCTTATTCACCCAGGCCAATGGTCATGATAATCAGGTGCAGGCGGCTGCAGCGTTGCTTGCTAGGTGTAGGTTGCTGCAACGCTCTTGGTTGTTTGCGGCCCTGGATGCCCTGAGGCTGCCCTATTTTGGTTGTTGGGGTCCAGACTTGGGGGTGGGGGGGTAGCTTCAGCTCTGGCTCCTTCTGCTCCTCGTCCTTCCCCTTCTGTTCTACACACTTCATCCCTTGCTTCCGGCTCCGAACCGTAGGCGGGTTTCGAGGTTGGAGCGGGGTTTGGTTGGGTTGAGACTCGGGTGGTCTTTGGGGATTTTCCTCTTCCAGGGTGGCGGCGGAGGCATTCGAGTCAGTTCCTCTAGCCATGCCGTATGGGTCTGACCAGTGGGCTCCCTTCCTTAGTGTTTGTACAGCTGCCCCGGCTTTTCCTTGTCAAGCTGGGGCTTTGGGGGTGTGGCTCGGCCCCGGGTCTTGCCACAGAGGTTCCCAGGGTTGGGGAAGGGTTGCCTGGGGGGCCCTCAGTCCCGTTTGCTCCTCTTGGGTCTTTGTACCCTTGGTGAGGGGCTGGCAGTTCCTCAGAGTGGTGGTGTTCCTTCCCCCTCAGTGTTCATGTTGGTTTCGGGTATACCCCTCCCTGGATTCGGTTCCGTGTTCCTTTAGGTTCATCAGTCCTGTAGTCCCTGGGGGTGTGTTTCGCCCCCTTTTCCTTACCCTTTTCGCTCTTACGTCGTGATACTATTACCTTCGTATCGAGGTCCCTGCGTGTTCCTTGATCAGGGGTGTATTTTTGTCCATATGTACCTCCGTACGTGTGTGCTTGTTGCGATTCTTGTTGGTTCGTGTGTGTCTCTTTGTACCTTTCAATATTTTTGGAACGTTTGTTGACTTTCGATGTTATTTCCCTCTGGTCTTTTGCGGCCTCGTTGGTTACCTTCCGTCCTCTGTCTTCTTTCGCTTCGGTTTCGCCTTGTTTTGTTTTCACATCGTCTCTACTTCCAGTTTTGACGTAACCTCGTCTTTGTTACGTACGCCTTCCTGGTGTTTGTACGATCTGTGTATACGATGTATCTGTATGTTATGCGTATGTACGATATGTGTGTCCACCTGGTGTATGAGCCACGCTACCCGGTGGACAGGTGGTGTGTTTCGTACCTCGCGCGCTGGGGATAGGGTGTGCGTTTTGTTTATGGGCGGTATGCTCGTGTGATCCGTGTCGTCGTAGCCCTCTGGATGCTGCGGGTGTTCTGGATTTTACATATGTGAGTGTCACTTCATTCTTTCCTCAGCTTCTGGGTGTGGGATGGCTCGGAGTGGTGCCTTCTCCTCCCCCTCTGTACTCCTCCTCGTTTTCTGCGGGGCGCGTGCCTTTGGACGTATTTCTCCTTAGACTTCCAACTTTTATTCAGGTAATGATACATACAATGCCTACTGCCTCTAGTATGCTTGTTGTTCGAGAGCACCACTAGCGATGCTCCTAGTGTGTTACTTGGCTCGCCTGTGTTGTGGCACGGTCGTGTATCTGCTCTGCAGGTGAGATTGTTATGTCTGGCACCTCCGTCAGCCAGGTGCTGGTTCTCGACTTTTGATGGGGTATTTGCCTAGTTGTGCTTGTGGGGGGTTGAGCTCTGGCTCTTTGGCCCCACCTCTCTCCTGTCAGTCGATGGTTGTGCAGTTTCCAGAGCCTCCTGGGCTCTGTCTTATCTGTGTTTGCTCCTGTGGGTGGAATCTGCCTCCACCATGTAGTTTCCTAGTGCTTTCCGCTTCCTATCTCTTCTGCCATTGCTCAGGTTCTTTTTCATGTCTGTGGCTCCTTTGGGTACTCAGCTTCCTCCTGTGTCCCCTAGTGCATACGAACATACATACATAAGACCAAAGGTAACTGCAGAGGGCCTGTTGGCTCATACTAGGCAGCTCCTATTTATTACCACCCAATCCCACTCATGTATATGTCCAACCCACGCTTTAAACAATCGAGGGACCCCACCTCCACCACGATACGAGGTAATTGGTTCCACTAATCAACAAACCTGTTACTGTACAAGTGTTTGCTCAAGTTTTTCCTAAATCTAATTTTATCCAATTTATACCCATTGTTTCATGTACAAAACGTGCCACAAGGGTGGTATGTGCCACCCTTGGTCCCTGCTCCATTCTTGTTTACTCTCTCTTCCTTGCATGGCAGGGTTGCATCGATGGCTCCTAACAGGGGTGTTTGGTGTGGTATGTTGTTTGGTCACCTTGTGTGTGTCTTTAGTGACTTTCCTTGTCCATGTATCTTGTTCTTTGTTGTTCTGTGGGGCTCTGCCCCGCATTTCGGTGCTTTTAGTCTCATTTGTCGGCACCTGGGTCTTTACCCTATCTGGACACTCATTCCTTGCCTATCTTCGGTGCCTGACTGCACCCTGCTGTCCATTAGGTCCCTCAGGTGTGTACGCCCTCAGGTACACATTTTGTGGTTTCTCGTGTGCATTACTTCCCGGCCACTCCTTGGTCCGTATTCGGGGTTTTCCTTGCCTATTTCCGTTTTTCCTCCTCCTATGCTACACTTGTCTGTGTATCTGGGTCGGTGCTTATTATCCTGGTGTTGGGTGCTCGGGTGGGCCTCTGTCCATGTTCAGTTCCCTGCTTTTGGACTTCTCCAGTGTTCCGTTTTGGCACTGAGTTCCTACGATTTTTCTCTGTGACTTGCTGCAGGCTTCTGTGTTGCACTGTCTGTGGGGGGGGGGGGGGTTGTAGACTTTCGGTCCGCCGCTTCTGCCTTATTGGTTCCTTTTCTTGGTACCGGTTGCTGGGTTGCAGTTCTGGCTCCGGTTTTTCTTCGTTCCTTTCCAGAAAGTGTGTGTTTGCTTTCCTGCGGTTCACATCCTGCATAGTTCTCCTCTTGGATGTCTCAGGGACACATGCATCATTCTTCCCTGCTGAAGCTGGTTATGTTGCTCCTTTGGGTTGTGGAGTCGCTGTTTTTCGATTTGCGTTTTCGATCATGGTGCTCATTTCTCGTCGTTTGTGTCGGCACTGGTGGGTTCGTTGTTGGTTTCCCACCTGCGTGCTTCATCTCAGGGGCAGTGTGTGGTTTTCCTGGTGGTCATTCCGGTTTTCCTATCACTGCGAAGGGTCCTTTGGTCTCTAATAGGGTTGGCTTGTCTTCCCTTCGGGGTTTCCGGGACCGTCGTCTGGGACTGTGTCCTGTCACCTCATATTGGGTGGTGCTGGCGGAGCCGCTCCAGCTTGCGTTCGGTGTTGCAGTTCCTGATGCTCCATTCTGCTTGCTGTCCTGGGCGTTGTTTCACCTCCGCCCTGCTCTTGAGTTCTGGTGCCGTCCTTGTCGTTGGCCTGGGTGGTCTATTTTCTTCCCGTTTTGGTCCTTGGGTTGCTGCTTGGTTGGTTGGGCTGCGGGGGGGTGCTTCCTTTGTTGTTCGGTTGCAGTTTTTTCGCTGTTCTCTGCGCGTCTTGGCCTCTGGGGTCGTGGACGCATTTTGGTCGTTCACATTCCCTTCTTCCCTCGTTCCTGTTTGGGGTTTTGGGTCTGCAGGGTCTTTGTTTCGTCTGTGGTCTTGTTTTTTTAGGTTAGGGCACCTACCTTACCTTACCTTACCTTGAGGTGCTTCCGGGGCTTAGCGTCCCCGCGGCCTGGTCGTCGACCAGGCCTCCTGGTTGTCGGACTGATCAACCAGGCTGTTGGACGCGGCTGCTCGCAGCCTGACGTATGAGTCACAGCCTGGTTGATCAGGTATCCTTTGGAGGTGCTTATCCAGTTCTCTCTTGAACACTGTGAGGGGTCGGCCAGTTATGCCCCTTATGTGTAGTGGAAGCGTGTTGAACAGTCTCGGGCCCCTGATGTTGATAGAGTTCTCTCTCAGAGTACCAGTTGCACCTCTGTTTTTCAACGGGGGTATTCTGCACATCCTGCCATGTCTTCTGGTCTCATGTGATGTTATTTCTGTGTGCAGGTTTGGGACCAGCCCCTCTAATATTTTCCACGTGTAAATTATTATGTACCTCTCCCGCCTGCGCTCAAGGGAGTACAGTTTTAGGCTCTTTAGTCGG